TAGAAACGAATTTCTTCAGAAGCCGACCTGCTGGCTACCCGGAAACGATCTGACGCGGCACATGGTCGGGAAGCATGTCCGCGATCCGTTGTCATCGTTTCGGCAACACTCTTCTCCTCCCTGATCCTCAAACCGATCCTCCAAAACTGACTGCTGTCGCACGACGTTGACTCTTCAAATAAGGCTCAGAGGTGCTCCTGCGCCTCTCTTGCGCCACTGCTACTTTCGACGAAGTCAAGAGCTGGCGGGCGGTCGCTTTGGCTCGATGCTTTGGTTCGAGTTCATCAACTTTCTGTTTACTCAACTGTCACTGAGCGGCTTTGAAAAAGCTCTAAGCCGATCAGTTTCCATTTCCACATCCTTTGTGATATCACATAAGATCAGGCAGTCAGTACATTCTCAAACAACACACTCGCATTCCTGGCCTTTCAAATGGCACGCACTGCTAGACGAGAACCGGCTACGTGAACAACCGGATAGCGGTACCGACTTTCATCGCTTAGCAATAAATTTACGTTTAGAGGTCACTAAAGAAATCAGATCGATTAGCGACAATGGCAAAGTTGTTCCCTCCATGACAAACGAGGCGCGGGCGTCGAAACTGACCGTTTCCTCGAGGTAGCAATGCTCGGCCTTCGTTTGACAACACAAGGAGTAAGGAACATCTCGGAAAGGTAGAGCGTCCGCTTTAATACGAACACGTTCCAGGCGAAGACCAACAGCCAACTCGATGCTGCCATGAACGACGGCTCATCATCTCCCAAGACCCGGAGCTGTTCCACAACAGCTTTAAGAAACTTACCGTCGATGCTGATGCCAAAGCTGCTGGCTTCAGCAACAGGAAAAAGAAGCTGGGCTGAGTCATGACAGAAACGCCGAGTCTTCGCCGGGAAAGAAGCGGGCAGAAGGAGGGTCATACATGACCCTGACGAGCCGAACAAAAGAGAGTATCGCTCTGAAGTGAAAGTGGTGAAGAGGAACCCGCAAAGGCAGGGCAACGAGTTGGAAGAGACCGGTAGAAAATGTACTACGTGAATACCGTCGCCAAAGGTTACAAACCATAGAATACCACCAGCTTTATAAACATCACTTCCAATGATCCGCTGCGACAACGATGGACGTCGGAAACAACTGGCCGAGCACTTCGCAGGGCTGTTGTTTGGGCCCGTTCCTCCGGTAAACCTCAAAACGGATGAGGAAGTTGGATTAAACTCAGACTGCGCCCCACCATCAATCGAAGAAATCCGGGAGAGCAGTACGACTCTGCCGACGTTCGGGGTCCTTTGAACATCCGACCATAATGGGGGGGGGATATGCCGAAATCCTGAAGTGCAAGAATGACAGTCCGTCAACCTGACAACGTTCACAATGCTGGCCTGCTGTTATAACTGAGAGTTCGAGATCTGAAACGATAGCACGCAATGTGATGTACCACCATTTGCTATGGATCACTATCCTCTAAATAACCTTCAGAAGGACAGCAAAGAAATTGATTATACCAGTGCTCAAGGTATTTCGCAAAACAACCTCCCAGAGGCTTGGGCTGTGCTGACGAATCCCCCTGCGGGACACAGAGGTGTTGACTCGCTGCCTGAAATAGGACAGAGATAAAGACCAACCAAGACAAAACCAAGGAAAAGGCGGAATAGAAATTCGAAAATTTCATTACGTCGGCGTCGTCGGTTCATTTCTCTGACCAGTGGTTACTGTGATTAGGCCTGCGATCTGAGGAATGCACTCTCTATTTGCACTTTCAGCGGACCGTCTAAAATCGGAGGTCGAAAAGGTACAACACTCACCAAGAAGACTCATGCTTAGCTGACTGGTTTCACGGCACTAACTGTATGCACCAGCGCTGTTATACGTTGTATGCTGTGCACTAAGGGGAGGGAGGGAGCGTTAATCAAGAACCGTCACGTTATTACGTTCGCTGGCACAGAGGATTTCGGAGGTTGCCGAAGACACTTTTCGGCTACGTGAAAACCGAACCTCACTGACTCGCACCTGCCGACGCGTGGCCAACACGTTGGCGACCAAAGACGTATGGCCGACAGATGACTGGCAGAAGAAACTCGACGGAGGTCCGCTGTCGACGGGGAATCAGCCTCTCTTCGACTCAGCAGGCAACTCTGAACACTAAATCGAGGAATCCTAAACGACCATTGCAGTTCTATTACATGGCTATGAATCATCATCAGCCTTTCAATTCCCTGCAAGATAAAGCCTCTTGAAAACCTCTGCGATAAACTTATGAAACTGCTGAGATTTTTATCCATCTTGATTCGATGAACGTCGTCATCTCGTTCGGCTATCGACCTGGCTGTCCGCCTGCAGACGGGATACTATCTCTTAGAACCCGATCTAATGTCTGACTGGTCCATTGATGGTCAGTTCTTCTTGCAACGTTGTTCAGTGCCATTTCAACTCTTTTCCTCTCGCGATCACATTGCATGCCCGTGTTTGTGCTCCTTCACTACTACTTTTTCTTGTCATTAACATGACTGAAGATATGTATGATTGAAAATATGCGTTCGTTTTAAATATTTACGATATATCATCGGTTGACAGATGACCGTAGCACATGGTTATGTGAACAAATGAGGC